TGACGTCAGGTTTGAGGTCAGGTTTGACGTCAGGTTTGACGTCAGGTTTGAGGTCAGGTTTGACGTCAGGTTTGACATCAGGTTTGACATTAGGCTTGAGGTCAGGTTTGAGGTTTGGTTTGACGTCAGGTTTGACGTCAGGTTTGAGGTCAGGTTTGAGGTCAGGTTTGACGCCAGTTTTGAGGTCAGGTTTGACGTCAGGTTTGACGTCAGGTTTGAGGTCAGGTTTGAGGTCAGGTTTGAGGTCAGGTTTGAGGTTTGGTTTGACGCCAGTTTTAAGGTCAGTTTTGAGGTCAGGTTTGACATCAGGTTTGACGTCAGGTTTGAGGTCAGGTTTGAGGTTTGGTTTAGCGTCAGGTTTGAGGTCAGGTATGAGGTCAGGTTTGACGCCAGTTTTGAGGTCAGGTTTGAGGTCAGGTTTGACGTCAGGTTTGAGGTCAGGTTTGACGTCAGGTTTGACATCAGGTTTGACATTAGGCTTGAGGTCAGGTTTGAGGTTTGGTTTGACGTCAGGTTTGAGGTCAGGTTTGAGGTCAGGTTTGAGGTCAGGTTTGACGCCAGTTTTGAGGTCAGGTTTGACGTCAGGTTTGAGGTCAGGTTTGAGGTCAGGTTTGAGGTTTGGTTTGACGCCAGTTTTAAGGTCAGTTTTGAGGTCAGGTTTGACATCAGGTTTGACGTCAGGTTTGAGGTCAGGTTTGAGGTTTGGTTTAGCGTCAGGTTTGAGGTCAGGTTTGAGGTCAGGTTTGACGCCAGTTTTGAGGTCAGGTTTGAGGTCAGGTTTGACGTCAGGTTTGAGGTCAGGTTTGACGTCAGGTTTGACATCAGGTTTGACATTAGGCTTGAGGTCAGGTTTGAGGTTTGGTTTGACGTCAGGTTTGAGGTCAGGTTTGAGGTCAGGTTTGAGGTCAGGTTTGACGCCAGTTTTGAGGTCAGGTTTGACGTCAGGTTTGAGGTCAGGTTTGAGGTCAGGTTTGAGGTTTGGTTTGACGCCAGTTTTAAGGTCAGTTTTGAGGTCAGGTTTGACATCAGGTTTGACTTCAGGTTTGAGGTCAGGTTTGACACTAGGTTTGAGGTCAGGTTTGAGGTTTGGTTTGACGTCAGGTTTGAGGTCAGGTTTGAGGTCAGGTTTGACGCCAGTTTTGAGGTTAAGTTTGACGTCAGGTTTGAGGTCAGGTTTGAGGTCAGGTTTGACGTCAGGTTTGAGGTCAGGTTTGAGGTCAGGTTTGACGTCAGGTTTGAGGTCAGGTTTGAGGTCAGGTTTGAGGTCAGGTTTGACATCAGGTTTGAGGTCAGGTTTGAGGTCAGGTTTGAGGTCAGGTTTGAGGTCAGGTTTGACGTCAGGTTTGACATCAGGTTTGAGGTCAGGTTTGAGGTCAGGTTTGACGCCAGTTTTGAGGTTAAGTTTGACGTCAGGTTTCACGTCAGGTTTGACGTCAGGTTTGAGGTCAGGTTTGAGGTCAGGTTTGAGGTCAGGTTTGACGTCAGGTTTGACGTCAGGTTTGACGTGAGTGAGGTTTGACGTTAGTCAGGTTTGAGGTCAGGTTTGATGTCAGGTTTGAGGTCAGGTTTGAGGCCGGGTTTGAGGTCAGGTTTGACGTCAGGTTTGACGTCAGGTTTGAGGTCAGGTTTGACGTCAGGTTTGACGTCAGGTTTGAGGTCAGGTTTGAGGTCAGGTTTGACGTCAGGTTTGAGGTCAGGTTTGAGATCAGGTTTGACGTCAGGTTTGAGATCAGGTTTGACATTACGTTTGAGATCAAGTTTGAGGTCAGGTTTGAGGTCAGGTTTGAGGTCAGGTTTGACGCCAGTTTTGAGGTCAGGTTTGACGTAAAGTTTGACGTCAGGTTTGACGTCAGGTTTGACGTCAGGTTTGAGGTCAGGTTTGACGTCAGGTTTGAGGTCAGGTTTGAGGTCAGGTTTGACGTCAGGTTTGAGGTCAGGTTTGAGGTTTGGTTTGACGTCAGGTTTGAGGTCAGGTTTGACGTCAGGTTTGACGTGAGTGAGGTTTGACGTTAGTCAGGTTTGAGGTCACGTTTGAGGTCAGGTTAGAGGTCAAGTTTGACGTCAGGTTTGACGTCAGGTTTGACATCAGGTTTGACATTAGGTTTGAGGTCAGGTTTGAGGTTTGGTTTGACGTCAGGTTTGAGGTCAGGTTTGAGGTCAGGTTTGACATCAGGTTTGACATTAGGTTTGAGGTCAGGTTTGAGGTCAGGTTTGACGTCAGGTTTGAGGTCAGGTTTGAGGTCAGGTTTGACGTCAGGTTTGACGTCAGGTTTGAGGTCAGGTTTGAGGTCAGGTTTGACGTCAGGTTTGACGTCAGGTTTGACATCAGGTTTGAGGTTTGGTATGACGTCAGGTTTGATGTCAGGTTTGAGGTCAGGTTTGAGGTCAGGTTTGAGGTCAGGTTTGACGTCAGGTTTGAGGTCAGGTTTGACGTCAGGTTTGAGGTCAGGTTTGAGGTCAGGTTTGACATCAGGTTTGAGGTGAGTGAGGTTTGACGTCAGTCAGGTTTGAGGTCAGGTTTGACGTCAGGTTTGAGGTCAGGTTTGACGTCAGGTTTGAGGTCAGGTTTGATGTCAGGTTTGAGGTCAGGTTTGAGGTCAAGTTTGAGGTCAGGTTTGACGTCAGGTTTGACGTCAGGTTTGAGGTCAGGTTTGAGATCAGGTTTGACATTACATTTGAGGTCAGGTTTGAGGTCAGGTTTGAGGTCAGGTTTGAGGTCAGGTTTGAGGTCAGGTTTGACGTCAGGTTTGACATCAGCTTTGACATTAGGTTTGAGGTCAGGGTTGACGTCAGGTTTGACGTCAGGTTTGACGTCAGGTTTGAGGTCAGGTTTGACGTCAGGTTTGACATCAGGTTTGAGGTGAGTGAGGTTTGACGTCAGTCAGGTTTGAGGTCAGGTTTGACGTCAGGTTTGAGGTCAGGTTTGAGGCCGGGTTTGAGGTCAGGTTTGACGTCAGGTTTGACGTCAGGTTTGAGGTCAGGTTTGACGTCAGGTTTGAGGTCAGGTTTGACGTCAGGTTTGAGGTCAGGTTTGAGGTCAGGTTTGACATCAGGTTTGAGGTCAGGTTTGACGTCAGGTTTGAGGTCAGGTTTGACGTCAGGTTTGAGGTCAGGTTTGACATCAGGTTTGAGGTCAGGTTTGACATCAGGTTTGAGGTCAGGTTTGACGTCAGGTTTGAGGTCAGGTTTGAGGTCAGGTTTGATGTCAGGTTTGACGTCAGGTTTGACGTCAGGTTTGAGGTCAGGTTTGAGGTTTGGTTTGACGTCAGGTTTGAGTCAGGTTTGAGGTCAGGTTTGACGTCAGGTTTGAGGTCAGGTTTGACGTCAGGTTTGACGTGAGTGAGGTTTGACGTTAGTCAGGTTTGAGGTCAGGTTTGACGTCAGGTTTGAGGTCAGGTTTGAGGTCAGGTTTGAGGCCGGGTTTGAGGTCAGGTTTTACGTCAGGTTTGACGTCAGGTTTGAGGTCAGGTTTGACGTCAGGTTTGAGGTCAGGTTTGAGGTCAGGTTTGAGGTCAGGTTTGAGGTCAGGTTTGACGTCAGGTTTGACGTCAGGTTTGAGGTCAGGTTTGAGGTCAGGTTTGAGGTCAGGTTTGAGGTCAGGTTTGAGGTCAGGTTTGACGTCAGGTTTGAGATCAGGTTTGAGGTCAGGTTTGAGGTCAGGTTTGAGGTCAGGTTTGAGGTCAGGTTTGAGGTCAAATTTGAGGTCAGGTTCTAGATCAGGTTTGAGGTCAGGTTTGACGTCAGGTTTGACGTCAGGTTTGACGTCAGTCAGGTTTAAGGTCAGGTTTGACGTCAGGTTTGACGTGAGTGAGGTTTGACGTCGGTTTTTGAGGTCAGGTTTGTCGTCATGTTTGACGTCAGGTTTGAGGTCAGGTTTGAGGTCAGGTTTGAGGTCAGGTTTGAGGTCAGGTTTGACGTCAGGTTTGACGTCAGGTTTGATTTCAGTCAGGTTTGACGTCAGCTTTGACGTCAGGTTTGAGGTCAAGTTTGACATCTGTCAGGTTTGAGATCAGGTTTGAGGTCAGGTTTGAGGTCAGGTTTGAGGTCAACAGCTGGCTGGATCAGGTTTGAGGATCTGTTTGGGGCTCAGAATTTGGAATCAGGTTAGGGAATCAGGTTTGGGAATCAAGTTTGGTGTTCAAGTCATGGAGGCGGATGTCAATCTCCCGGGCATAGCAGCGTTCGCCAAGCGGCTGCTCTCCCTTTCCTCTCTCGCCTGTAACCCAGAATCCCTTCTTTCCCGTGTCTCACCCTTTCACAGAGCCCCAGGTTCATGGCGCTGGTGTTCAAATCCATGAGGCGCCCACACGCACTCACCCGCTGCCACACTGGCAGTGACTCCACCCGCTGCCTCTCCTGCCGCTCCTCCCCCCCACCAAACCCGGCAGCTGCCCGCGGAAGGCAGGCGAGTAGGAGGGCTGGTACGCGAGGTCGAGGGGGTACGGGAAGAGGATGTCCGTCACCCCGGGGGGGGGAGTCCAACCTTCCCAACCCAAGCACCCACACGCACTCACCCGCTGCCATATTGGCAGTGGCTTTAACCCCTGCCTCTCCTGCGGCTCCTCTCCTCCTCCAAACCCGTGCTGCCAGCGGAAGGCAGGCGAGTAGGAGGGCTGGTACGCGAGGTCGAGGGGGTACGGGAAGAGGATGTCCGTCACCCCGGGGGTCCACTGGGCGCTCAGCACTGCGAATCAAGGCGCCAGAGACGACAACCCACCACACCACTCTCAATCTCCCACACGCACTCACCCGCTGCCACAGTGGCAGAGGCTCCAACCCCTGCCTCTCCTGCCGCTCCCCCCCTCCAAACCAGTGCTGCCCGTGGCCGTTTGGGGCCGAGTAGGAGGGCGGGTAGGCGAGGTCGAGGGGGTCGGGGAAGAGAATGTCTGTCACCCCGGGGGTCCACTGGGCGCTCAGCACTGCAAACCAAGGCGCCAGCGACGACGACCCAGCGATCACGACCCACCACAGCACTCCCCCAATCACCAACACGCACTCACCCGCTGCCATATCGGCAATGGTTCCAGCCCCTGTCGCTCCTGCCGTGCCTCTCCTACTTGCCCCGCGCGGGCCAAGTAGGAGGGCTGGTAGGCGAAGTCGAGAGGGTCGGGGAAGAGAATGTCTGTCACCCCGGGGGTCCACTGGGAGCTCAGCACTGCAAAGCCCGATCGGCCTGATGAGAGCGAGTTGTCGTAGCTTTGCGCGTCATCACACGCGTTCAGATAGAGCTCCGCTCGCAGGGCTGCAGGGGGCAAGGAGTAGGAGGGAGGGGGGAAAGTTATGAATCTCAAACGCGGCTCACTCCAAGGCGAAGATACAACAAAAATGCGCACACGTATACCAAGGACTCACTCTGCAGCTCAAACGTGACCACGGCTTCGTGAATCATCTTTACTGCCAGGTTGATTCTGAGAAGCTTCCTCTCGTCTTCCAGGAAGGCGCCGTAGCGGAAGTACACTCGCCCTTCCACCACTCGCACCTGCGCCACACACGTCATGAGCTGGGGGTGGGGAGGGGGAGGAGAGGGAGAGGGGAGAAGGAGAGGGAGGAGGAGCAGAAAGTTGAACAAACCCCCGTCCTTCCACCACTCGCACCTGCGCCACACAGGTCATGAGCTGGGGGCGGGGAGGGCGGGGGAGAAGAGGTAGGGGTGGGGAATGGAGTGGGGGGGATGAAAGGGAGGGTGGCTTTTGAGTCGACTTTAACAACCTTCCTTTCCACCACTCGCACCTGCGCCACACAGCTCATGAGCTGGGGGTGGGGAGGGCAGAGGGAACGGGAGGGGGAGGGGGAGGGGGACGGGGAGGGGGAAGGGGAAGGGAGATTGGGGGGAGAAAGGGAGAGAGAGGGGGGGGGAAGATGGCTAAGTTGCAGTGGATTTATAGGTTGGTGGTGGCAGTGCATGCATGGTGCAGGCAGGGTAGCTTGCAGCGCAGCGCACCTTGGGGTTGGTGGCGATGGCCTTGAGTGCTGCCGCCTTGAGTTGTTAGGGTAGACTCTAAAGTCACATGGTGCAGGGTAACTTGTAGATGTAGCACACATACACACTGGGGTAAATGACAGTGCATGGCTTCATTCAAAGCAGCGCACCTTGGGGTTGGTGGCGATGGCATTAAGTGCTGCCGCGTTGACTCGTTTGAGTGGAGTTACAAGTCACATGGTGCAGGTTAACTTGCAAGTGCACAGACGATTCAAAACTCAGTGCACGGTGCAAGGCAACTGGCAGAGCAGCGCACCTTGGGGTTGGTGGCGATGGCCTTGAGTGCAGCGGCCTTGATGAGACCTGTCTTCCCCAGCCCGTCCGTGATACCCTGTGGGTCGTGCAACACAGCGCGTGCATGGAAAACCATGCACTCATGCACAAGTACATGCACCCACCATGCACCCATGCATCCACAGAGGCCCAACGGTACACACTAAATCTTCCATGCACGCATGCATGCTCGTCGTAACAGGCATTTTTCACGCATCCATCAATACATGCATACAGGCCAAGCACCATGCGACCAAGCACAATGCAATGCAAATCGGATATCGGATATCAGAACAACCATGTGTAGCTCGTGACTCGCGTTCACACGGATCCACACCAACCAAACAAACCTCCACCCCGACCTTCCATTGACCTTCCTATTTCCCCTTACCCCTCCACCTGCCACCTCAACCCATACAGAACTCGCCCAACTATGTCTATCTCGTCCCCCAACTATTCCCAACTACCATGACGCACCTTATCCCTTCCACCATCTTTTGTTTCCCCTTCTCACAGAGACACCCATAACCCCTCCCCTTCAGAATCACACCCTCCTCCACCCTTTCCCACACCCAAATTCAAACCCCTCTTATCCCATCCCCTCCCCTCCCCCTCTCCCACCTCTTATCACATCCCCTCCCTTCCCCACTCCTTTTCCCTGCCTCCCAGCCCAGCCGCACCTCTATTCTCGCCCACGGCGCCAGGAACCGCTCGGCCAAGCGCGCGAAGGCAAGTGTGACGGGGTCACTGGTGCTGAAGGCGCCCGTGGTGAGCAGCCCCTCCACCACCACCGCCCACGGCACCTTCCCGTCGTCCTCGCCCTCCCGCGCCGCCACCATCTTCCCCATCGCCTGCAGCCTCCTGCCCGAAAAAAATATCGGCCCCGCATTCTGCCCGGCGCTGGTGCCCTCCCCGCCTCCCGAGCCTCCTCCGCTTCCTCCCGAACCTGCGCCTCCGCCGAGCCTGTTAGGTCCGGTGTCCCCCAGCAGCACCCCCGTGCCTGCGCCCAATCCTGAGGTGAAATCGAGCCCGGCGGCGGCGGCAGCGGCGGCGACGGCTGCATCAGTAGAATCAGCGGTATCGTTTAACCAAGGGCCTTCTAAGACTCCTCTGGCGTTTAGGTAAACGGCGAAGTCGCAACCGGCTGGCTCGACTAATCTGCTGGCGAGATAAGGCGCGGGGAACCAGAAGAACCGAGTGGCGATGAATACGAAGACCGCGCACGATGCGATTATCACGTGGGGTCGCTCCCGCGCGATGCCATCTAGGAGGCCGGCTGCGCCGCCGCCGCTTCCGCCACGTGTGCTGAATGCATTCGTAGCCGCTGATCTTGACGACGGAGAGTACTGGGATCGACGGCTCCCAGCTCTCGCTCGCGACGACATCGCTTCTGCGATTAGCGAAACTCCTTCGACGTGGTAACCTGGTCAATCATGACTGCAGCTGTCCGTAACGTGGAGGATCCAAACGTAGCGACTCTTGTCCTTCAATTCTGGATCATGGCGACACGAACAGCGGCATCTAGCAAAGGTGGAATGCCTCTATCGTGATCACACACATTCTCATATCACCTCCAATTCTGTGGTTCCTTTTAACGGTTATCTAAGAGCGTCTGAGTCGTCAGCGCCGAATGCCATGATACCAGCATGCACCTGGAGATTCGGAGCGGTAGAAACCTTGGAATATGGCGAGAATATTGCCACTTGTGCAGCAATGGCCAGGCCGACCACAGCAGACCACACTGACCACACTGGGCACTTATCGGAGAGTCGTCCCAACTTGCAGTGTCGATCAAGACGCTCAGGACTACAAAACAAGAGTGCGGTGGATTACGATTCAATAAGATGTTAATGTGTTTACATAGGTATTCCGAACGTTTAGGTATGGTTCGAAGGAAACGATGTCAAGACGACCGAGGCAAGTGGTGTTGGTTGGTGGAGTTTCCAAGGTGCAGCGCTCCTGTCCCGGTTCGTTCAGATGGTAGCTGGTCGGCTAGGCAAACTTGTTACCACAGTTCGCTCGCAGCCGGAGGAAACGAGGGGCGAAACAAAAACCGGAAAGTAACATGTCGCCGAAGGTGTTTGTTCGTTGGGGGCATTTTCAGATTAGCGAAGGCAGACGAAGCAAGAAAGTGCGTGCTAGCCTTGACATGGTCAATAGAAGGCTCTGACCAGGTTTAGGATTCACGTGATTGTATCGAGCGACGACCGACGACTGACGTGTTTCGACGAGCGACCACCTACGAGCGACGAGCAACGACAGAGACTATCCAAGAGCACTGACGAACGCTGAGCGACGAGCAACAGGCGAGACGAGCGACGAGCAGCTAGTGCCGAGCGGTTGGCGAACGACGAACGACGAGCAACTAGAGAAGAGTGAGCCGCGAAAGACGGAACTCCTACCAAGAGATGGAGTAGGTAGACCTAATTCATCAACATTATTCAGCATTGTCGTTCTCCCTCCAAGCAATCTCTCTTAACGGCAACCCAGTAGGTCATCCTGCTAGTAACGGATTAGCGTCGTCATAAGATTGCCTTGAAAAAGGCGGTGCGAGGCGCCATGACTTCGACCCGGCCTTTCCGCTGCCGACAGAGAAGGTGGTAACGCGACGGTCTAATTCGCGCGTTTGATTGACGACATTCTCACTCCGCCACACGCCGCTATACCTGATAAAATCCTGGTCGTTCTGGCGGTTGTAGCTCAACTCGAGAGTAGCGCCGGTTGTAGTAAACCAGCTGTAGCGCCGCGCCTACGTTGCTGCTCTGCTGTGTCTCCCATAGGTTACAGTGGCCATTTAACACGGCTCCTCCTAAACCTTCGACAACGAGCTCTTATAGTATTCGGCATTCTCATGGGCTGCGTGGGATCGACTGCGAAGGAAGACTCCCCTAAAGGTAGGAATGCGTTCTGGACTGCCATCTCAGCTTCCCCTTCCCCCGCTGGGTTCTCCCCTTTCCCGTCCTCTGCCGTTCCCCTTCCCGCGCCCTCCTTCCCCTGTGCTCCACGAGTGCTTTGAGGCTGCGTCATAATTAGAGGGGTCGGAGCCCCGTGGAAACGAGCCATGCCACTTTGCTCTAAAATTTTCAGAGAGTTCGAGTCTGCGAATTCGTTAGTGCTTCATGCTCTCCCTGGCTGGGTTCTACCTGCGCGTGTGTGCAGGCAAGAAGGTGGTGAAGCCCAAGGCGTGGAAGCACCCAACGCCGCTGTCACAGGCAGAGCTGGCGCGCATGAGGGAGGAGTTCTGGGACACAGCGCCGCACTACGGCGGCCAACGAGGTCCGCCTCCCCTTCGCCTCCTTGCTTCTAGCCCCACTAGCTTCCTTCGTCACTATCTCTCTCCCCTCTTCCTTTCTCATCGCCCTAAATTGAAACATACACACTACTGCCATTTCCCTTGACCTTTCACCTCTTTCTCCCCAACCCGTTTCCCCCACCTCCCTTTGGCCGCCCCGTGCCTGCGTGTGGCAGAGATATGGGACGCGTTGAAGGCGGCCACAGAGGGGGACCGGAGCATGGCGCAAGTGATACTGGAGTCAGCAGGGGTGGTGGTCGATGTACCTGACATGTCCGTGTGCTACGATGAGAGAGGTGCGTCATGGTGGCTTTTGAGTCGACTCAAAAGTCAAGTGATACTGGAGTCAGCAGGGGTGGTGGTCGATGTACCTGACATGTCCGTGTGCTACGATGAGAGAGGTGCGTCATGGTGGCTTTTGAGTCGACTCAAAAGTCAAGTGATACTTGAGTCAGCAGGGGTGGTGGTCGATGTGCCTGACATGTCCGTGTGCTACGATGAGAGAGGTGCGTCATGGTGGCTTTTGAGTCGACTCAAAAGTCAAGTGATACTTGAGTCAGCAGGGGTGGTGGTCGATGTGCCTGACATGTCCGTGTGCTACGATGAGAGAGGTGCGTCATGGTGGCTTTTGAGTCGACTCAAAAGTCAAGTGATACTTGAGTCAGCAGGGGTGGTGGTCGATGTGCCTGACATGTCCGTGTGCTACGATGAGAGAGGTGCGTCATGGTGGCTTTTGAGTCGACTCAAAAGTCAAGTGATACTTGAGTCAGCAGGGGTGGTGGTCGATGTACCTGACATGTCCGTGTGCTACGATGAGAGAGGTGCGTCATGGTGGCTTTTGAGTCGACTCAAAAGTCAAGTGATACTTGAGTCAGCAGGGGTGGTGGTCGATGTGCCTGACATGTCCGTGTGCTACGATGAGAGAGGTGCGTCATGGTGGCTTTTGAGTCGACTCAAAAGTCAAGTGATACTTGAGTCAGCAGGGGTGGTGGTCGATGTGCCTGACATGTCCGTGTGCTACGATGAGAGAGGTGCGTCATGGTGGCTTTTGAGTCGACTCAAAAGTCAAGTGATACTTGAGTCAGCAGGGGTGGTGGTCGATGTGCCTGACATGTCCGTGTGCTACGATGAGAGAGGTGCGTCATGGTGGCTTTTGAGTCGACTCAAAAGTCAAGTGATACTTGAGTCAGCAGGGGTGGTGGTCGATGTGCCTGACATGTCCGTGTGCTACGATGAGAGAGGTGCGTCATGGTGGCTTTTGAGTCGACTCAAAAGTCAAGTGATACTTGAGTCAGCAGGGGTGGTGGTCGATGTGCCTGACATGTCCGTGTGCTACGATGAGAGAGGTGCGTCATGGTGGCTTTTGAGTCGACTCAAAAGTCAAGTGATACTTGAGTCAGCAGGGGTGGTGGTCGATGTGCCTGACATGTCCGTGTGCTACGATGAGAGAGGTGCGTCATGGTGGCTTTTGAGTCGACTCAAAAGTCAAGTGATACTTGAGTCAGCAGGGGTGGTGGTCGATGTGCCTGACATGTCCGTGTGCTACGATGAGAGAGGTGCGTCATGGTGGCTTTTGAGTCGACTCAAAAGTCAAGTGATACTTGAGTCAGCAGGGGTGGTGGTCGATGTGCCTGACATGTCCGTGTGCTACGATGAGAGAGGTGCGTCATGGTGGCTTTTGAGTCGACTCAAAAGTCAAGTGATACTTGAGTCAGCAGGGGTGGTGGTCGATGTGCCTGACATGTCCGTGTGCTACGATGAGAGAGGTGCGTCATGGTGGCTTTTGAGTCGACTCAAAAGTCAAGTGATACTTGAGTCAGCAGGGGTGGTGGTCGATGTGCCTGACATGTCCGTGTGCTACGATGAGAGAGGTGCGTCATGGTGGCTTTTGAGTCGACTCAAAAGTCAAGTGATACTTGAGTCAGCAGGGGTGGTGGTCGATGTACCTGACATGTCCGTGTGCTACGATGAGAGAGGTGCGTCATGGTGGCTTTTGAGTCGACTCAAAAGTCAAGTGATACTTGAGTCAGCAGGGGTGGTGGTCGATGTGCCTGACATGTCCGTGTGCTACGATGAGAGAGGTGCGTCATGGTGGCTTTTGAGTCGACTCAAAAGTCAAGTGATACTTGAGTCAGCAGGGGTGGTGGTCGATGTGCCTGACATGTCCGTGTGCTACGATGAGAGAGGTGCGTCATGGTGGCTTTTGAGTCGACTCAAAAGTCAAGTGATACTTGAGTCAGCAGGGGTGGTGGTCGATGTGCCTGACATGTCCGTGTGCTACGATGAGAGAGGTGCGTCATGGTGGCTTTTGAGTCGACTCAAAAGTCAAGTGATACTTGAGTCAGCAGGGGTGGTGGTCGATGTGCCTGACATGTCCGTGTGCTACGATGAGAGAGGTGCGTCATGGTGGCTTTTGAGTCGACTCAAAAGTCAAGTGATACTTGAGTCAGCAGGGGTGGTGGTCGATGTGCCTGACATGTCCGTGTGCTACGATGAGAGAGGTGCGTCATGGTGGCTTTTGAGTCGACTCAAAAGTCAAGTGATACTTGAGTCAGCAGGGGTGGTGGTCGATGTGCCTGACATGTCCGTGTGCTACGATGAGAGAGGTGCGTCATGGTGGCTTTTGAGTCGACTCAAAAGTCAAGTGATACTTGAGTCAGCAGGGGTGGTGGTCGATGTGCCTGACATGTCCGTGTGCTACGATGAGAGAGGTGCGTCATGGTGGCTTTTGAGTCGACTCAAAAGTCAAGTGATACTTGAGTCAGCAGGGGTGGTGGTCGATGTGCCTGACATGTCCGTGTGCTACGATGAGAGAGGTGCGTCATGGTGGCTTTTGAGTCGACTCAAAAGTCAAGTGATACTTGAGTCAGCAGGGGTGGTGGTCGATGTGCCTGACATGTCCGTGTGCTACGATGAGAGAGGTGCGTCATGGTGGCTTTTGAGTCGACTCAAAAGTCAAGTGATACTTGAGTCAGCAGGGGTGGTGGTCGATGTGCCTGACATGTCCGTGTGCTACGATGAGAGAGGTGCGTCATGGTGGCTTTTGAGTCGACTCAAAAGTCAAGTGATACTTGAGTCAGCAGGGGTGGTGGTCGATGTGCCTGACATGTCCGTGTGCTACGATGAGAGAGGTGCGTCATGGTGGCTTTTGAGTCGACTCAAAAGTCAAGTGATACTTGAGTCAGCAGGGGTGGTGGTCGATGTGCCTGACATGTCCGTGTGCTACGATGAGAGAGGTGCGTCATGGTGGCTTTTGAGTTGACTCAAAAGTCAAGTGATACTTGAGTCAGCAGGGGTGGTGGTCGATGTGCCTGACATGTCCGTGTGCTACGATGAGAGAGGTGCGTCATGATGCTGGGCACCAGGCACTGGGCGGGAGGGAGTTCAGGAAATGTGAGCATGCTGGCGGGCTTATGTACTTTTCACTGCAGGAGTTATGCACCTCTGCCTCCTGATCACCTCAGCTTTCTCTCCCTCCGTGCCTATTGCAGGAGCCAAGTACGAGCTACCCCATTATGTTCTGAGCGATCCCATCAACCTCATCAAGGAATCGTGAGGGTGAATCACAGCATTGCGAATCTCCAGGTACAAGGAGTCACCTTGATTATGTCAACCGCTGCTGTCGTTATAGATGCGGAAGCTGTGCTCTTGAAGAAGTTATTCCGGTAGCGTTCGTGAGCCACCGAGCCGAACATGATTGGAAAGCAGATTGCGCAGCCTGCAACTCACCCGTGCCGTGGGTGTCAGGTATCCAGCTGTCAAGCAGTGTTCCCAGTTAGCTTAGGAGGACTGTAAGATGCTGGGCTGCAGAAGCAACACTAGCATTGACACCAGCAGCAGTCTGGATGATTTGCAACTTTGCTACCGTTTTTCTGGATGTCTCCTACGCTGGTGAACATGGTTCGGTGGTTCTCTTTCTGGACACGTGTGTGCCCGTCTACCTGCTTGGGTATGTCTGACGGCATCTAGCTAGGCATGCTTGCTTCCTGGGTGATTCTTTTCTCGTGGTTGAGGTGGGTGTATCTTACCGTACCATACCTTACCATGCCTCAGCATATTTATACCTCATATTACTGGTACCTTACCGGGCCCCTCCATCCCTTCACCTTAGTTCACCCACCAGCATTTATGGACTAGCAGTTAATTTGGAACAAACCCCTCTACTGCCGCGGCTTCTAAGCCAACCCTCTAAATCTGTGACTGACCACGCGGCGACCTAGACCTCTTCTGGCAACTCCCCTTGCATTGCTGCTCCTCCCCACCATCGCCCTCACCTCCTCTCTGTCACCATGGCAGGAGTGGGCGCGGGGCTTCTATGTGAAGCGGCACCAGCACGGGGCAGCACAGCGGTGGGGGAACTTCCACTTTTACCGCATGTGAAAATAGGGTACCACCCATTGATACCATCAAGTATTTGCATGAGTAGGTTAACTGCGCATGAATACCATCTTGTAACTGCGTGGTTACTGTAAGCACACGCATGGATACTACGTGGTACCAGTAACTATCAGAATACTAGCGTGAGAATGGTGCATTGAATGAAACAGTTGGGTACAAGTAGCTAACCCTAGTTGGGGTTGTACCCCATACTGGCTACCCCACTACAGCCTACCAACATATAACAGTTTAACACACCCCCATAGGCAAAGTGGGGGAGAACAAAGGGTCACAAGACCAGTCCAGCAAAGCAACGCAAGCCCAGGGTGGATCACAACGTCACCACACTCCGAGCACAAGCAAAGGCCACAAGGCCAATTCACATGCAGTGCTAGATATAGTACAAGACAAGCAACACAGTGATCAAAACCTAGCAAGCAAGCAAAAAGATATATATAAAGTACAGTACAAAGAAAGTCAAGCAGTAAGCAAATGAGGGAATGTGGACACAAGGCCTAAAGAAGTACAGTGCCGCTGATGATCACTAGGCGGGAGCGCCTTGGTGAAGATATCAGCAGTGTTGGCCTTCGAGTCCACGTACACAAGCCGAAGCTGACCTCGCTGCTGCAGCTCTCGAGCAAGAAAGTAGCGAAGAGCAATGTGCTTCGTCCTGTGCTCCAGTTTGTGCTCCTGACACAAGGCAAGGGCCGCCTTGTTGTCGCCGTACAGAACTGGAGGAGAACTAGGCCGCTCTCCCAAGTCAGTCAGCAGGTAGGTGAGCCAGCGTAACTCCTGTGCAGCCATGGCCGTGGCGTAGATCTCAGCCTCACAACTAGAGCTGAGAACAGAAGAAGAGCGGGTGGACCGCCACGAGACAGAACCAGAGCCAAGGCTGAAGGTGTAACCCTGCGACGACCGCTGCGTAGCCAAGTCGTCCACCCAAGAAGCGTCCGAGTGACCAGTGAGAACAACTCTGTCGCGTCCTCCAAGCACCAGCCCCATGCCTGATGTACTGCACAAGTAACGCAGCACCCTCTTAGCAGCCTCCCAGTGCTCTCGCCTGTGTCTCCCAGGCGCAACGTAACGAGCAAGGATGCTAAGAGGGTACGCGAGGTCAGGTCGCGTGCAAGTCATCAGGTACATGAGGCAGCCTACAAGCTCTGGGTACGGGCCACTCGGCTCTACGGACTCGTCCGAAGGTGGAGCTGAGAGCGAGTGGCTGGTAGCCAGAGGTGTGGCCTGTGGTGAGGAGAACTGGAAGCCGAAGCGCTGAAGGACCTACTGCACCATGTGTGACTGAGTCAGGATGATGGTGCGGCGTGCTCTGTCCCGGGTGATCTGCAAGCCAAGGTAGATGCGCAGCTCACCCAGGTCAGTGCAGGTGTGTCTCTTCTGCAGCTCCGACTTCACACGAGCGAGTGCCTCAGTGTCAGCAGTAGCAAAGACCAAGTCGTCGACGTACACGAGAATGTAGAACGGTGGCAGCGACGTGTCTGTGCGCAGAAACAGCGACGGGTCAGCAGTAGACGGCGCGAACCCAAGGGCCGCAAGTGTAGTCCTCAGTGTGTCGTGCCACTCACGTGGCGCCTGGCGGAGACCGTAGACTGGCCGGCGGAGGCTCCACTGGGTACCAGGAGGAAACGACCCAGTAAAGCCAGGTGGGCGGCGCAGCCAGATCTTCTCGTGCAGGCTGCCCTGCAGGAAAGCTGTGCTGAAGTCAAGAGAGTGAAGCTCGTAGTCACGCTGAGCAGCAACGTGCAGCAGAACCCGAAGAGTGGTCATCTTCGGGGTGGGGGAGAAGGTCTGGAAGAAGTCAACCCCCTGACGCTGACTGAAGCCTCTAGCAACGTAACGAGCCTTGAAGACAGGCGGAGAACCCGGCGGCCGCTTCACCCTGAAAATCCACATGCCATCGACGATGTTCGCCCCAGGAGGGGGAACCTCGTCGACGTAGGTGCCTGTGGACTTCCAGGATGCCATCTCTGCGTCCATGGCTGTCTGCCACTGAGAGGAGTAGGGACCCGAGATCGCCTCTGCGTAAGAGCGCGGAGTGGGGATGTCTAGTGCATCCGGGTCTCCCTCAGGGGCAAGCAACCAGGCCACGAGATGAGGTACAGCAGCCGCAAGAGAGTCAAAGTCCTCCTGCCTGTCCTCAAGGACGTCCGTGCCAAGAGCACACTCACCCCCGACGGACGGAGGACAGACAGACTCAGACTCAGCAACAAGACTGGCGGCGTAGTCTAGGCGACATGCAGCAGCAAAGTCGACAAGCTCAGCGACCAGGGCAGACGCAGCAGAAGACTCAAACGACGGGTCAGTGACAACAGTGGCGAGAAGACGCGTAACAGTAGGGTGGGCAGCACGAACACTGTCAGACTCAGGGTCGGGAACGTCAGGAAGAGAAGACGCAGGAGGAGACGGTAGGGGGACACGCTGTGGACCAGTGGAAGGACGAAGGGCCATAATATGCGTGCCAGGAACAGGAGGAGGACGCGGACGCGCGACACGACGACCAGTGGGACCAGTGCGCGCAGTGCGAGCAGTGCGAGTAGCACGAACAGGCGAGGCAGGACGAGACACAGGCTCACGACGCTCCGTAAGCGAGTCCGGCAGTGCAGTGTAAGGTACAGGAGCAGGGAGGGGGGAGCCAGGCTGGAGGGGAAGGCCAGTGGAAGACGGGAGGGAAAGAACCTGGCGAAGCACCGTGTCAGGCGGTGGCAAAGCCGACGGTGACGGAGGAGCGAAGAACAGGCGCGACGGCGGAGCTCCGCCAGCACCTCCAGCACCCGCAGCACCAGAAGCACCAGGACCAGCACCCTCCGCCGCAGCACCCCCAGAGTCGGCGACGTCAGCACCAGAGGCCCCAGCAGCGTCAGACCTCCCCTCGCCAGCACCTCCAGAACCAGCAGGACCACCGTGTCCAGAACCGTCAGCTCCAGTGTCGTCAGCTCCAGCAGCTCCAGTACCGCCAGGAAGAGCACCCCCAGAGCCGGTAGCTCCAACTCCGCTGGCACCGCCAGCTCCAGAGTCCCCAGCTCCAGCAGCTCCAGCCTCAGTGCTCCCAGAACAGCCAGTCCCGGCAGCTCCAGTACCTCCAGTACGAGCACCTCCAGGACGAGCAGCTCCAGAACCTCCAACTCCAGCAGGGCCACGAGGACGGCGAAAGCGCCGGACGTACCAGTCACGAAGCTGCTGCGGTGTGAGAGACTGCTCAGCACCCCGAACCGGAGCACCCCCAGACGCAGCAACCCCAGGCTCCGTAGGCTCAGTCGCAGTACCCCCAGGCTCAGTGCCCCCAGGCGCAGCACCCCCAGGCTCAGCACCCCCAGACTCCGTACACGCAGGCTCAGCACCCCCAGTCGCAGCACCCCCAGGCTCAGCACCCCCAGGCTCCGAACTCTCAGGCACAGTACCCTCAGCTCCAGCACCCTCAGTCCCAGCACCCGCAGCCGCAGCACCCCCAGGCCCAGCACCCGCAGGCTCAGCACCCCCAGGCTCAGCACTCCCAGCAGCACCACCTGCAGCAGCACCTGAGTCACCTGTGACCTCGACAGGCTCAGCGACGGGAGGAGGGTCTACCTGAGAGACACCTGAAGGAGCAGGACCCTGAGGGGGAAGGGGGTCTACCGGAGGGGGACCAGGAGCGAGGAAAAGCGGCGGGGGAGGGAGGGGGGCAGTGCGGTAGGGGAAGAGACGGTAAAAAGGGACCGACTCGTCAAAGGTGACGTCCTGAGAGGCGAAGACCCGGCGCGAGGTGGGGTGGTAAAACTGCCAGCCAGGCGCGTCAGGGACAAAGCCAAGGAAGACACAGGGAAGCGTGCGGGAGGAGAGCTTGTCCGCGGACGTATCGCGAACAAGGGCACGAGCACCCCACACCCGGAAGCG